CCCCCCGGTTAGATATATTCGTTTTAAACTTAGAGTTGCCTTCAATTTTGCAAATCTTACATGAACGTGATTACAAATTTATCAGAGCTCAGATAGCAGGTAAGAAAGCTCCTTGAATACTTTCAGTAACTGTTTAACTGATGTGTTATAGGCGTGTATGTCCACATGTCTTTGCTTCCCTTCATGATCAGTGTGAAGCTTTTATTCATCTTTAACTTGATTACATCACCCACCTAAGCGTGCTAAGCCCTGAAATTAGGTGCCGCACAGGTTAGACACTTAGACTCTCTTAGGTGACACTTTGTGCAAGCACTAAGGTATACAGGATTTATCTTGAATACAGCAATGTTAAATAATAAATACATATGCTAAAGTACAAGTTAATCTCTACAGAAACATTATTTATGAATGTATTAGTAATTATAAAACTAAAAAATGGTGCTTCATGTGCAGATGATCGGGAGAAGACGTGGACCATTTACTAGTGCACTGCCATGTTGCACCCCAATTGAGGTCAGACTGTGTTGAACTGAAATCACGCTTTAATTGTACTTCACACTTAAAGCCCTGCATATCCTTGGAGCTTTTATATCATTTGCCTTTGAGAACACTGCTCCCACTTTATTACCCTCATTAAGTTAGGCAAGCACTAGCTAGGGCCGCAAACTGCATCTGCGTCACTTTTTCTCTAGAAGTTTGTGTCCTCTAAGCCATAGTTCGAAATATTCATTTTATTGTCTTCATAGTCCCAATTCTTACATGAGACATTATGATGTGATTACAAATCTATTAGAGCTCAATTAGAAGGTAAGTAAAGAGGAAGTTCATTGAAAACTTTCAGTACTAATGTGTTATAGGTATTCATGCCTATCCGCAGAAGAGTGCGAACATATATCTTTATTGAAAATGTGTCTTAATTTGCACCATAAACTATTTCCCTGCATTTCTATTAAGCCACCTAATTACAAACACAGGCACTGCATAGAATGCAATCATTAACAGTGCACTGTTAATACTAAACATTGCATTGAACATTCCACTAACACATTTGCAGGGAAATCAAAAATTACCTTATATACACATTCAGAGAGCACCATGCAACAAAGGATATCCTGCAAATCAGCAACAGATTCAGCCTTAACAGCAAGACAGAGTTCCTGAAGTTGCTTCTTCCTTCTCTCGTACTCTTCCTGAATCAGTTTCCTCTGCTCTCTGGCATCCGCCCAAGGCCACCGCACAACCATTTTCCACTGCTGTGGCCACGTGATTTTTAGGATCTTTGATTTTTGGCCTCTGATCCATGATTCTACTCTCCGTTGTAAAGACTCCATTGTCCACTAACCCTAATCACGCTGTAATTAACCGCCCGGAAAACGGCGTCTCCGTTTCTAAAATATCTCGGCGGTTTGTGGCTGCGATTGGCGTGCAAAGTGCTGGCTGTACGGGGGAATGGGTATGCCGAATCAGAATGTTATCGTTAAAGCATATGCCTAAAAGTAAATAATTTTCGTGGAATAAGCGAAAATGAAAAAGTATATTTTTCTCCCGAATTTTACTTAACGAATTTTCGCANTTTTGATGACATTACTGTTACGCGCCAACTTACTTGTCGGATTCTCAATACTTTTTTAATAAGAGATATTTGGTTCACATACTAATAATTATGTGAGTATTACATATAGAAATTACTTATTAATCTATATTTATATTTATCTATATATATATAAAGTAAGAAATTTAAAAAATAGGTGGCATATCTATGTGGAATCTTATTTATCTTTTTTTTTCCTTTTTCCAAACTATTTATCCATATCTCGCACTTTTAGGTTGTAACTTTTCAAGTCCATAATCCCCAATTATTTAATGTATTATAAATTAGGTTGTGACTTTTGAAATCCATAACCCCCATTTGTTTAATGTGTTATAAATTGTATCGTTCCTTCTTTTTTTACCAACAAAATTGTATCTCACCCCTCTTCATCGGAAATTGTGACTTTTCAAGTTCATAACCCCCAATTATTTTATAAATTACATCTTAGGTTGTGATTTTTGGAATTCACAACCCTCATTTGTTTAATGTATTATAAATTGTATCTTTCCTTCTTCTTTTTTTTACAAACTAAATTGTATCTTTCCAAAATTATGAGGTTTTATGACATAACTCTCTCAGTTTTATCCAATTTCATTAGTTAGATCTAACTCTAGCAGTAGTATCAACAAAAAACATACTCCACCTGTTGATTTAGTCATGTCTTGGTATTTTGATTTTGAATCTGGCAAGTTTTGGTTCCCTACTCAACTTTACAATCGCTAGGTATCATCAAATTTATTCCTTCAAAACAAACTTCATGTTAGTATCACGGAAGGAGGACTGTCTATTTTCATCTTGTAAAAACTTCTTTATTTTATTAACTAGTCCCTTATTTTTCTCTTGATCTGTGATGACCCGATATGTCATCTTATGTTTTAGAATCTAATTTTGTGTTTCGAAACCTCAAATGCCTCATTTTAGCCCTCCTCGATTTGCGTGCATAGTCTGGATATTTTTTCGGAAAGCTTTTGTGTTAAAAACTGATAAAATATAAAAAAATTGTCATAAAATCCATTTGAGTTGACTTCGGTCAACGTTTTGAGCAAACGGATCTAGACCCGTATTTTGGTGGTCCCGATGGGTCCATATCGTGATTTGGAACTTGGGCGTATGTCCGAAATCGAAATTTGAAAGTTTAAAAGCTTAATGAATCTAAAGGTTTGACCAATATTTGATTTTATGGATATCAGGTCCGTACTTTGGTTCTGGAACCCGGTATAGGTCCGTTACTATATTTATGACGTGTCTGTCAAATTTAGTGAGAAACGGAGTTGTTTTGGCACGATTCGGACGTCCGATTATTAAACTAGAAGTTTAAAAGTTTTCTTGAAAATTTCATTTGATTTTGTGTTCAATTCGTAGTTCTAGGTGTTATTTTCGAGATTTGATCGCACGAGCAAGTTCGTATAATGTTTTTGGATTTGTGTGCATGTTTGGTTTGGAGCCCCGAGGGCTCGAGTGAGTGATTCTAACCTATTTTCTTTCAATCTTCATTACTTTTCATAAGATTTCAATCTAAAATCTAGTATTTTCATGGTGGAAATTGGGGGTTTGGGTAGAATTAGGGATTTTTATAAAATTGGAATTTAGACTTCAAATTGAAGTCGGATTTCAAAACAAATTACATAACCCGGATCGGGGGTGAATGAGTAATCGAATTTTGGTCGGAATTTCGGGTTTGGACCAAGAGGGCTCGAGAGTTGACTTTTGTTGACTTTTTCAATAATGACCTAAATTGAATCTTTTGCAATCGTGGGTAATTCCTAAGGTTTATTTTAAATTGTTTGGTTGGTAATTTGCTAGATATTGTTGGTTCGGAGGCTTGTTTGATAGGCAAAGTAGTTGAGCTTTGAGTGATCTTTGGAGCGAGGTAAGTGTTGAGTTTAACCTTGACTTGAGGGAATTAGGTGTCACGACCCAATTCCATGTCAGGCCGTGGTGGCGTCCAGCACCGTTGCTAGACAAGCCAATAGTGAACAACCTAGTGATTTCCTATTTTTATTAAGTGATTCAAACAATTAACTTTCCTCAAACTTAAAGCATTTGATAAATAGCAGATTTTTAGAGCAACCAAAAAAAAGAAAACAACTAAAGAAAATCATAACTGTAGAAATACAACCCAAAATCGCAAGTCTACTAATATGTGCCAAGATCTAGTGTCACAAGTATGTGGCCAACTAGCAGAATATACAAAAGGTGGATATCCTACAGCCTGAAATAGACTAGACAGCAACAAAAAAAAAAAAGACTCCGGCATGTTGTTGAATAGCTCGGAAGGGGCAGCTCACTATGAAATCTCGAATCATGATCAAGTATGCGCGTCGGACGGGTAACCAGATGTAACTGCCTCATATCTTGTACAATTAAGTATAAAAGTGTAGTATGAGTACATAAACAATATGTACTCAGTAAGTATCTAGTCTAACCTCGAATAAGTAGTGACGATGGGTCGACTTTGACACTTACTATGGTCTAACAATAATATATTTAAAATGTTATACTAAGCATGGATTTCATGAATACTACTGAAAGCTCAATAACAAGAAATAACAAGTTCTCTTTTCACAAATATAAATTTCAAGTTCAGTTTTATCATTTAACAACTTACATCTCAAGACATTTAAGCAATACCAATCTTGGAGAGTTCCAAATAATTATCATGTGCAAATTATGATGAGGTCTTATGGTCCGATCTAATATAATATTTAAACTGTGCACTACAGAGGGTCGAATGGCACGAACCATAGATGCATCTATTTAAATCTGCTACCGAGGCATTCGGCTCGATCCACAAATAGCAGTTATTTTAAAGAGAGCACAAATTTCTCATTTAAAGTCAAGTATTTCATTAAATCTTCAAGTAAGTGAATTTAACCTTTTACAATTTTATTATCAAATTCCAACATGACTTAGTCAATTAAATTAGCAAGTAAGGCACACATATTTCAAATAAAGCATGATATGGGTCCTAAACTACCTGGACAATGGCATAATAGTAGCTATGTACGGCCTCCCGTCACCTCGTGCGTACGTAGCCCCACTAATAGGTACACATATTTATTTAATCCACCTATAGGATTAATTCCATCTTACAAGGTTAGAAAGGAGACTTAACTCATTGCAAAACCTACTTTCTGGTTCAAAAAGGTGCTCAAACCTCCAAATTTGATGCCAAACGACTCGAAACTAGTCAAATATTACATAAATTAATCAATCTATGCTCAAAAGTTCATATCCCCGCTACTAAAGTGATTACCCAACCCAAAATGCAAGATTCCTAAAATTCACCCCCGGGCCCACACATCCGGATTCCGAAAATTTCCAAAGAAAGTTGTTACCCATAACCTTAGGAACATAAATATATAATTTTCACTAAGTTCCATAATTATTTTTTGGTAAAATCTCATTTTTATTAAACCCTAGATTTTTCATCTAAACCCATGATTTCTACCAATTTTCATGTTGAAATCTACCCATAATCTATGTATTAAACTCACATTAAGTAGAAATTACTTACCTCACAAAGCTAGGTCGAAATTCCCTCCTTAAAAGCTCTCAAATCACCTAAGAGTGGAAGAAAATGTGATAAAAATGACCTAAGCCCGTATTAAACCTCACTACCTCCAGCGATTTCCACACCTGCGGTCATAGGGCTGCACCTGCGCCCTCGCTTCTGCGGACAAAGGTCCGTTTATGCGGAAATCCCCTGTCCCGGTTGGCGTTGCTTCTGCGGAAGGATTCCCGCTTTTGCGAAGGCTTGCCCTTCCTTGGCCGCTTCTGCGAGGCTTGGCTCGCACCTGTGGCTGGCCAAGTGCAGGCGCGATTATGACAGACCTGATGCTTCAGTTGTTGCTCCAAATTCTCAACTTGGTCTGAGCCTCGTCTGATCGACTCTCGGGGCCCCCGGGGGCCCTCCCAAGCATACCCACAAGTCTAGAATAATAAAACAGACTCGGTCAAATTCTCGGAACGCTCGATACAACATTAAAACTAAGAATCACAACCCTAAAACCAATTGAATCAAACTTATGAACTTCAAGTTCTTCAATTTACTTCCAATGTGCCGAAATGTACTTATACTACTCGGAATGACATCAAATTTTTCGTTCAAGTCTTAAATGATATTACGAAACTATTCCCGATCTCGGAATTCCATTTGGACCTCGATATCACCAAAATCCGCTGCAAACCAAATTTAAAGAACTTCTAAAATCTTCAAGAACCAACTTTCACTATTAGGCGCCAAAATGCTCCTGGTTCATCCAAAACCTGATCCGAGCATACGCCCAAGTTCGAAATAATCATACAAACCAATTGGAATCGTCAAATCCCAATTCCGAGGTCATTTACTCAAAATATTGACCGAAGTCAAACTTGGTCTTTTAAGCCAACCTTAAGGAACCAAGTGTTCCGATTTCAACCCGAACTCTTCCAAATCCCAAACTAACCATCCCTGCAAGTCATAAATCAGTAAAAGTAAGTATGGAGAGTCTTATTTAGGGGAACAGGGTTCTAGAAAGTAAAATGACCGGTCGGGTCATTACATTAGGAACCCTCGGATTATGTGCTATGTGAATTTCATGTGTTGCAGCATATATGCGAGATGATGAGTGCTTATACGCCGCCGAATTACATGTTTCTCTTAATTTCTTATTCTTCCTTCATTATCTCTTTCCCTGCCGTAACTGTTATGTGCCCTAAATTCCTTCCATGTTTTAATTGCTACTTGTCAATCATTGTTCTCCTGTTAAAATATTAATACCTCTTCATATTTTCATGACTTGCTGGTATTTGCTCTAATTGACGTATTTGCACCTTTTAATTGTCATTTGTTGGACTGTCTCGCGGTGTAGTATTTCATACGTAGATTCCCAAGTTGGTACAAGGTTTACTTTCTGCTTCAGCTTTATATTCATCGATTATGGTGGTCCTTGTGATTTGAATTATTCATTTGACTATACTCATAGAGTTTTTG